TTTTTTCTTTTTGTTTGTTTTTCTTTTTTGGTCTTTTTCGTATTTGTTTTTGTTTTAAACTTTTTCTCCTTTTGTCTTGTGCCTCTTGAGAAGAAAGAAGAATTAGAAGAGAAAAGAGGTCCTGAGGTGGAAGCTGAGCCCTAGCTAAACTATATCTTTAAATATAGTGCACCATATGTGGGGTATAGTGGCCAATATTAGTGCGATAACCAAAGTTGGGCATCTTTAAGAGACAGCCAGCTTTTAGTCTAATTACCTTATTAGATAGCTTGGTCTTGTATTGAGCATTATACATTTAATAAAATTTTAGTATGTGGCTATCAAAGAGAAAAAAAAATATATATATATTATTTAAAACAAATTAATTATAAGTTTTATTAAATATATAATATATAAATATGATATATTAGAAGTGATAAAACGACCTATATACACATTTATTTTCACCTAACGGGTTGCTTTTTTTAACCTACCCGGTTTCTACTCGTGTAGCTCATAGGTCCACCTGCAGGTGACCCAGGTGGCATTTTTTTTGACGGGTTCAATTACTATTCTAGACACCCTAATAATAGTCAAATAATTTGACTCATATTGAACATCTATTATATATTATATCAAAAATTTAGGGTAGTGTAAAAAGTTACTCTAATGTCAGGAATTATGTTGGATTGTGGGTTAAAACTTTAAATGTTTCAAGATCATTATGTATATGGTATTTTTTCATAACTTTTGCATAATATTATATATATTATTTTTTAGATAATAAAAAAATTTGTAAAAAAAACATGATGATATAGACAAGCAAACTAATATTTTATTAATTATTGTTATAATCCAAATTTACTGTATATAAAAGTTATTTGGTGAAGTGATCATGTTATTATCACATATAAAACCTCAATTAATCAGTTTCGAATAATGTTGAGCTTACTTCTTTGAAGTATTTTTTGGTATACACATCCAATTTTGTATACTAATAGTATCATTATTATTTAAAACATTTTTCTTTGCCATTTTTTTTTTTATATCTTGCCAATTAATAAGAAGGTTCTACAATAGAATATAGAACAATTAATTAAATGAGACATTTTATATTAGAAAATAATATAATACCTCTAAAAGAGCGCCAAATTTGGCAATATCAAATAAACTCTATCTTTTAGTATAAGATATTGGTATTTTAAAATCAAATACTTCATATACTCTATATGTTTTAATACAGATAATATCTGTAACATATACCAAAACATTATATTCTAAAAATATAGATAAAATTTAATTAGCTAAGCAGTATGTATTTTAAAACAATTATACATTACATAATTTGTATACAAAAACTACTTACTGTATTCATAGATACTCACAGATTTAAAAGCTTTTGTAGTAGCAGTGTTACAATTACTATATTGTGTAAAATTGTAATTCAAGTCATCCAAGCTATTATATGCAAGCTTAGAAAAATCTCCTAAATAGTGTAACAAAGTGTATTCTTTTGAACTATAAGATTGTTTGTATAAAATGATTGCTAAATTATTCTGATATACAGCTGCATCATTCTTAGGAACACATCCACTATTAGATGGTTTTTGATTATAATTGATATAATAAGCCCTATCATTAAAAGCTTCATTATCAATTTCACCACTATAACCAATAAAAATATAAAATTGTAAAAGATATTATGAAAAAGAAGGAAAAATGAATATAATATATACAATTCTTTTCCAGATATAATATTGTTAAAAAAAACTGAAAATAAATCCAGTAGTCAATAAATAATTTGAATAAACCATGTTTTCTCATTACAATCAACTTGTAAACCACCATAGTAAAAATAAAGAATAAAATGGCAAAAAACTTCTCTAGTTCATAATAATAATTGACTTGAATTATCAACAAGTGATTGATCCAGCTTGCTTAACGCATTTATAATATCACCTGAAAGTAATTTCTCAAAATATTGTTTAATGTTGTCAGGAAGACTTATTGTTATATTAATACCACGAGCTATGTTATCAAATAGCTCTTTAGCATCCAACGTTGAAAACTCAATAAAATGCTTAGTGAGCAGGTAAATCTGTTGACTTTCAACTAAAAAAATTTTTTTTTCATTACTGCTTTTTTTTCATCCTCAAGCTACATGTTCACAAGTTACTTTAAATTAATGATACAAGGAAAAAATATGCACTCTTGTTAATTTAGAATATTGTGCTTGCCTTTTTGGTTTTTTTAAAAGACTGTTCCATTCAAAAAAAAGAAATTCACCATAGATACATTAATAGTATTACCATCTAAATAACATTCAGATGTGCAGAGAAACAGAAATCAAAATTCGAGACCCACTACATATCTTAACTTCCATCTCGGTGATATTCACAATATTGTATTTATCAGAACCATCTGACTTTTGTTTTAATGAATTTGCTATTGCCTCTGTTCGTTCTTTACATACTGTTTCAAGCAGGTGAAGAGCATCTATTATTGTATTTTGGCAAACTATGTCCTAGAAATTTACAATAAATATTAGCACATAGCACCAGATACTATTCAAGAAACTCTTACTTTCGTATAAAACATACTGTCTTATTATCTGCCTCTTGCCTCGCATATAAGATTTGTTTTTCCCTTTCAATTGCATCAAAAAAAATATCTACAAATGATGATGGTTTCTTCAAAAACAAATATATTAACAATAAACAGATAAACAAGAGTGACGACATATGAAGATAAACTATTTTAACAATTAGACATTTTCGTGTCATACAAGGGAACGAAGCCGTTATCACCTCAGGAGGGAGCGAAGCCGTCCTTTGGCTGTATAACACCGACAGGAACTGCACAAGGGAGCAAAGCCGTCATCACCTCAGGAGGGAACGAAGCCGTCCTTTGGCTGTGCAGAACTATCATATCTAATAAAAAAAAAGGAACAAGATACCTCATTACTTAAATGCGTTGCATAATTCCTCTCTTGATTGCTATATGCTTCGTCAGCAGAAATTTTTTCCAAACATTCTTTAAATCTTCTGAGCCACGTGCCTTTATCTTGTCTCTTTGTTGATTCTAAATTTGAAAGGATAACGGGCTTGAAGGTCTCTAAGAAATGAAGATGTGACCATTCTTCAAAAGGAGTTTCTTCGAAGTATAGTTTAATATCTTTAAACAAAGGTTGTAAACTTGACATGTTCGACAAAATTAAACAATCAAAGGCGTCATAATTCTATTTTTATGTTACGTACAATGTTATAAATTCAAAAAATTTTTATTGGCGCGAGCGCGTATTATATTTGTTAAACTTTAAAATCAAGTTTAAAAATATGCGCAAAAAAATTTAAATTATAAAACGCGCAGAGCGCCAATCATTTTCATTTTCGCAAATTTAGCAGTTTTTGTTAACAGGGTGAAATGTACCTAAAAATAGTAACATGTTACACAATTCATGACAATCGTAATTTATACATTTTAAAATACTTTTTCATGTAGCCCATGAAACGTTAAATTTTTACAGGAGATTTATTAACAGCCCAAATAAAATAAAATAAATCAAAATTATACAGTATGTTGCAAAGAGGATCTCATCTGTTTCTTTAAATATAATAACTAAGATATTTCATCGACTTTTTATTCTATTTAAAATTATTATAATCTGGCATCAGAATCCAGTTAGCAAGCATGTACATGAGCCTACCGGACTATAGGGGGATCTTTATCTCCTAATGTGTATATTTTCTCGAGGTTGTTTAAACAACTTTGTAATAAGGTCGTTCTGACAGGTCTTTGAAATATGAATGTTATATACTTATGTATTGATATAGATTTATTCATTAAATTATGTGATTACACAAATTTGGTATCCTTACTACGACTTATTAAGACCGGTCCTAATTTATGGACTGAGGACTACTTGAATCAGTTCAAAAGACTGGTTCAGACTGCGGTCTTTACCGGGTTGTAACATCCCTAACGCTACCTATATTTTTTTTCATCCAGTTGCAACAAATCCAATTGCTATTAATAATTTCTTAATCAAGTTTGATGTAATTTCAATGACCAGTCTTTCAGATAAAGGCTTTAATTATATCTGTTACATAAGCTAAAATTTTCTTTGATGCCTAACCCAAATTGGATAATATTCCTTCAAAATTAGAAGCGTGCAAAAAGTAATATAAAACGCTGTAAATGTAAAAAGGTAAAATTTCCTCACTGAAGTGGCTGTCATGGCGAATTTATGAAATTAAGCTAAAATTCAATCACCAGATCCAAGTATTTGGTCTCCAAAATTAAATTTCAGTTCAAAACTTACGTATTAAAAATTTTTTTGACCTTTTGGGTCGTTCTAAAGCGGAGCATAATCATAATCACGCCAATTAAAAATGTTGAGGCAATTTTGCCTATATAAAAACACCTTAAACCCTAACCTAACTATGGGTTAAAGTGCTCTAACCCTAAATTTAATCTATTCCGCTTTAGGCATCCTCCAAATAGGAAAAACCAAAATTATAACGACGTTAGGTTACTCGCATCTGACGATTGGCTTTTATCAAAAACGCTTAATAGAACGTTCTAGAATTAAAAAAAATCAGATGTAGATCCAGAAACATCTACATAATTCTTTAATTACTGACCGATCAAGTAATACGTATTAATATAATTACTACGTACTTACACCAGGGACAGAACCAGATATTCATTAAACTTCACCCGCTGAAAGTCTTAATACTGACAGGAATATCAATGGATATTAACCAAGAGCATACAGAAAGGTCCGAAGAAGAGCTTAAGAAAGAAGCTATCAAAGAAAAAGATCTTGGTAATGAAGCATATAAAAAACGTGAATTCGAAAAAGCATTACAACATTATAATAAAGCTTGGGAATTGGATCCTACTAATGCTTCTATTTTGACTAACAAGGCGGGTGAGTAAAGTTTTGCATTTTATCATTAGGTTATTTTTGTTATTAAAAATAGATAATAATTTATATAATTTATAGCTGTATTGTTTGAACAAGAACATTATGAAGAATGCATCAAAATTTGTGAACAAGCCGTCGATGTTGGTCGTGAACATCGCGCAGACTTTAAATTAATTGCTCGGTAATAATAAGTTAATATATTTGACTTGTTAATTACGTCACATAATACTAGCTAAGCTTATTATATCTCTAAATATTAAAGTGCCTACGGAAGAATAGGCAATGCTTATGTTAAACTTGACAAGTTCGATGAAGCGATTAAATATTACGGCAAGTCATTAGCTGAACATCGAACACTCGAAATACTTACTAAATCTAACGAAATTAAAAAGTTAAAAGTCAAACGCGAAAAAGAAGCATACTATAATCCAGAGCTTTCTGAAAAAGCTAGGGAAGCCGGAAATGAACTTTTCAAAAAAAATGACTTTGCAGGTGCCGTGCAACAATATACAGAAGCGATTAAGCGTAATGAGAATGAACCCAGATCTTATAGTAATCGCGCAGCTTGTTACACAAAATTAATGGCATATGAAGAAGCATTGAAAGACTGCGAGACTTGTATTAACCTTGATCCTAATTTTAGTAACGTATTCATTCATATCTTATATTTAGTTTTAATTTATATGAATATAAGTTGTTAATACTTTTTTACTATACAGTTAAAGCCTATGTCAGGAAAGCAGCTGTAGAGTTCTTAAAAAAAGATTACTCAAAATGCTTGGAAACTTGTAAAGTTGCAACGAATTACGATACGGAAAAAAAGCACACTTCGGAAATTCAAGCACAGATGAAAAAATGTAAAGAAGCAATGTACCAAAATAGCCCAGAAAGTGTGGAAGAGACAATTCGGAAGGCCGCTAGTGATCCTGAAATTATGGTATGTACATGAATGATAATTTTATAAAATGAGAAAATTACTCTTTTTAAATTATATGCACATATTTTTTTCCCATTTAGAAAATCCTCCAAGACCCTGTTATGCAACAGATTTTACAACAATGCCAGGATGACCCACGTGCCTTCAAAGAGTATGTATTTATTTATTTAGTTTAACAGACACCATGAAATTCTGTCAGTTAATAATTGCATTTATTTTATTGTTTAGACATCTTAAGAATCCTACTGTGGCAGCGAATATTGAAAAATTGATGAATGCTGGCATTTTGAGGACCGCTTAAAACTTGAATTTTTTTTCTTCTAGCAAGATTCATCTAATGTAATAAATGCCCACATACAGACCGATCGATTTATTTCTACTGTAAAGATTATATATCAATTCAGAATTTGTCTTTTTAAACCAATTATTGTAAATTTTGTATAATAAAAGTGTTATAATCTCGTATTTCTCTGAGTTCATAATATAACAATAATACTGTATATAGGAAATTATGTAAATCAATTTTGTATAGCAAAAACAAAAATTATTTTAAAACGCACCTATGGTAATTTACATCTATACGTAGTAGTTTTGCATTTATATATTACTATTATTACGTGATTCAATATAAGATAACGATAAGATAATTTTAAAATAATTTTTATATACGTCACTCTGGTTATACCGACATCTGAATATAACGACCATCATAGTAAAATCTTTCTATACCGACATTTTTTCAAAAAATTTCAATATAAAATGTCGGTATAACTCACTATATCGACATTTTGACTAATAACCAGAGTGATGTGTAGTATAATTTTTATTTATATTTCATTTTAATTTTTATCAAAAAAATTATGTAATGAATATTTCAAAATAGAAAATTTCCAAACCTACGCTAGTGTATAAACACGGGTATTAATTAATTGATAATATTAGGGTTAGGGTCAGGGTTAGAGAGTATTTTATACTAAAATTTTGCATAGATTATTTTTTGTTAGAACCATAATAAGTAGTTTTTATAAGCAAAATTTTGAGTAATAACAATACCTTGTGTGTTCACACTAGTGTACAAATAGTAATTCTCTTCAAAATATCATTGTATAATAAACATTTTCAAAATATCATTGTATAACAATGTTTGACTATGCTACAGTATATATCAACAAAAAATACAAATATAATAAATAATAAATATTCGATATAAAATATAAAGTTAAATAATATAAAATATGAAATATGAAATATAAAGTATAAACTAGGGGAATTTATATATAAGGGCCCGAAAAATGAAAATAATTACATATAAGAGCCAAAATTTTAATAAATATTACAATTAAAGGAATAAGATTGCAAATTTTTAGTATACAAAAAAAATATTCCATAAATATAATTGTCTTTTAACATTTAAACATATTATTTTTTAATCAGTGTTGCATTTATTCTTACCTTTCATATAAAATTATAATCACTTTTGCTGATTTTTAAAAGTATTTAACTTTCTTTACAAATAAAAATAAATCTCTAGTTCTAAATATCTATGATTAATGCATAGTAACCTTTTCAAAATATTGATTCACTAGTTTGGTATAGCAACAGGATAAACATATTAGTTTAGAACCAAATAAATATTACAATATCAATATACTGTATATTATATTTAATCTAGTTGAATCGTTTTTTGGTTAAAGGTCCATTAAATATAAATTCATACATATACATATGTTTGAAAAACTACTATTATCATAATGCAAAGTTATTTTGGCCTTTAATTGTAAAACTTTTTAAAATTTGGGCTCTTATTGTAATTATTTTTACTTTGGGCCTTTATTTTCATTTTTCAGGCCCTTGTATGTAAATTTCCTATAAACTATACACTACTATGAAAACCTATTTTATAACAATATATACCAGGTAAAAAAAAATATTTTTTTGACTAGTAATCTATTTTTTTTTTCAAAATTCTTTGGTAAAAAGTTAAGCCTAAATTATAAACTCATGATCATAAATTTTTTCTTCTTTGTACAACAATCTCGAATTAAAACTCAGTTAGCCAACAATATGACTTATAAATCATAATCATAATTGCACGATAACATCGATATTGGATCATGCTCCGACAAAACAAAATTTCATGATATTAATCATCGCATGACAAATATCTTATAAATAATCTGCAGAAGAGAGAATAAAAATTGATTGGCTAAAAAAATTTTTTTTTGAATAGTTATGATGTTTATATTAAGCAATATTTATTACTCTCTATCTGAGGCTCAAGAAGAGAAAGAAGGGTTATATTAAACATACTGTAGTTTTAACTTGGCGTGGTTTTAACAAAATACAAAATTCGAAGAGCTATACTACAAAATTTTATTACAGTAACTGCTTTGTTTTTTAAGTGAAAATAATTCTAATCTTATTTTAAATTGATCCAATACCGACAAAGTTAGCCGGCATTAGTTATAATGCTGGCCAATTTAGTCGGTGTTGTTCTTTCGGGAAAATGGTTTTCGAGATTTTGTGGTAGAACCCATAGTCCAGTAGTCCATATAATATTCTGCGTCAATCGCGAAAATCTATCAACTTATTATTATTTGTTATACTTTATAATAACTTGTATCGTCTTTATATTCACAAATAAAAAATTTTATGCTCATTGCTTTATATTGTCATTCAGTTTATATATTACAGTATTAAAACATTCTTTATTTTTGTAAGAAAAAAATTTTCTTAGTTCTTTATATATATCTAATGTTACTTTCTTTCATTGGCGGAGTTTGACCTAAGTTGTAAAAGTATATCAATATATACATGGCGATATTGTTATAAAGCAAGTATTATTAACTAGATAATTAGAAGCTTTAGCTACACATAGAATATTTATGTTTCTTTTATTAATGTACGTATTTATAGGTATCACGAATATCACATTCGTGCTAACCCTAACATCTTTGATAACTTTCGTTTTCCCAAAATCCGCCCATATGACGAAATCGCTACCCAATCAAATGTATGATGTAGGATCATCCATGACGTAATTAATTGGTTAAGTTGGATTTTTACTTAATGGCTACAAGATACACTAACTTTAAATACATATACTTGTATCACAAATTCGTGATACAATTTTATAATACTGGCTATATCAATATTTGCTAGTAATTTCTCTCAACTTGCTTTTAAATCCTTTTCTCATTAAATTAGTCGAAATGCGAACATTTTCGGTTTTTTGGTTAGCTCGCGTGCTCATGTTTATAGCGGCAGGACAGCTCCTTGACTGTACCGCTATAGACCCTTTTAACTGTTCTAATATAAAAGTTGGAAAAATGATTTTTGATCTTAGTACATTAAACAGGTAAAGTTTTGAAGATCTTTCGGAGTTTGATTGTGATTTATTATCTTTGTACCATAACATTCGAAAAATTATTATATAAATTTCTTTAGATCTTTCTAATGATTACGCGTTTTAATGACATTTATTTACTTTTTTTTTTTATAAATGTTTTTAAATGTTCTTGAAATAACAGAGAATGGCCGAAAAGCATAATCGAAAATCAATCTGAGGGAGTAATGAACATAACATATCGTATAAATATTTGTGAGCCGTTATCTTACAACGAAACACTAGGAAAAAATAAAACATGTGAAAATGGCACTAATATTTGTGCAATTAAGACATTCAAAAAATATGATAGTGATGGTGACCCGGTGATTATTGATGTTAGACAGATTGTCAAAAATTCAAATTTTCAACCAATTTCTATATTCTCTGAAGTCAACAGCGGTAAAATAAATATTTCATAATATCACGCACGTATTTATTGCCATAAAATATGGTTATGGAATAATTCATGCTAAAGAAATTCTATTTAATACAACAGAGACTCTCGAAATCAAATTAGGCGGAGGTGAATATTTAAAAGAAAAACAGAAAGCAAATATAACTTTTTTCCTTGGTGTGAGTACTCTCTTCCACAGTTAAGTCAAAATGATACGGTATTAATTATGTTAAAAAATATTCAATTATCAAGCAACCCGCCGATCTTGAGCCTGATGTACTGGAATACAAGGATAGTACATTGCTTATAGAATGGAAGATTAGTGCTATTGGGTGTGTTGACTTTTCGTTATTTGAAATGATTTTAAATTTATATTTGTGTCTTAATCTTAAATATGAATACCCATTCAAATGCAGTTATGACGAAACAAAAGGGGATGGGTCATGGAGTCTCCTTTCGATATTTATGTTCGTGTACGTAAAAAAACAATCTACTTTTGTAATATTTGAAGTTGGATTAAATTAAGTATTATATATTTTTATTCGATTTTGTAGGATATTTATTAGCTTCCTGGGATATTTGGTCATTGGAGTTGCCTACAATTATCACACGTATAATTCACATGGATGGGATTTATTACCACATAGGTTTGTTAATAAGATTATCCTGATTGGTTGGTTTGTTTTTGAAACAGAACTACTTTTGAACATTTAGTAAAATTTTAACAAATTATTTTCAAAGGGATTTTTGGAGAAGCGTTCCACATATGCTTTCGGTATACATTTTTTCATTTTTAAAAAAATGGGTTGTGATTCCAAAAACCATGTCTAACACATCTATTTTAAAAATAGGATCTTTTCAAAAATATACTAAATTACATATCAGGACACTACCGGGGGTATTCCCAAGTATGAAAACAACGATGTTTAATAATAAATTAATAATTTTTATAGTAACTACTGTGTTATACATGAATATAGTCTGATATATAAGTCAGTTCACATTTGCATTCGATAAATGTGATTTCATAAGCGTGTTATCTACATTAGTAAATTTTTTTCGTATTAAATAATCTATACGCGTTATTCTTTATTATATTTAGAACTTTATTTGCATTTTATTTTTCGCTCTGTGTACATTCATGAATATATTATAGTCGTTGTCTTCACAAATTTGATTCAATGAATTTAATAGAATAAAATATATATATTAATTAATTCTTAAAAGTAAGAATTAGTTTATAAAATTTATAATTTATTCATAAATACAAAATATGCAAAAGATTTATAATAATATTAATGCATGACAAGAACAAATTCTACACTCAAAAGCTAATTCTTAGTAAATCTAAGTAAAATAAAATAAACAATTTAAAGTCACAATGCGGTTAATATTATCGAAAGAATTACGAATCTAACAACTTACCTCAAATCGATCAGGCATCAATACTGGTCCAACCAAAGTCCATGCGTATAATATGAAACAAGCCCAGCTTGAAATGACTTTAACCCATACGGCGGTATACGTTTGACCAATTTTAACAAGTTCACCGTCATTTTTATCGCCCTCCGTAGACACGTTATTCCTATAATTGTCAAAATTAAGTACTAAAATAATAAACTAAATAACATAAATAATAAACATATAATACTTACCAATTCGTAAGAAGCATCGCAACATACATAGACGCGATAGCAAATATGAGATGGAAAAATACGTAACTATAGGCGACACCACCTCTTTCGTCGTCGTTACCATAATCGTCGTCGTCGTCTTCATCTAGCGCTGAAGCAGGCATTGCACTTTAAAGAATAAAATAACAACGTTATAACAATTTTCAAATAATAATACAAGTAATTTAATATGCGTATAATACTCACCCACTTTCAACGGAAGCAGCCAACACCGATTCAGATCGCATGTTGGGATTGAGTCCGTTTGGCTGGTTAGTCATCAAAGGTACTGCTGTAGCAGTATTTAAAGGATGATAATCCGATTTAGTTATTAATGCCTTGCCTTGACTAGCAGCTCGTGTCGTCGAATATGCAATCGCCAAAAAGGTAAATATTGCTCCTATAACGATAGTAGTTGTACGCGTTCCACTGCTTTGTGTCAACGGATTACATTCGCTCGGTTCATTTACCACCGCACTTGTGATTAAATATGTACAATAAAGAACAACAACTGAAGCCTGCGAAAGTCCAGAACGAGGATTTGCAATTTGAATCTCAGGATGAACGCATAAGATTGTCCCGATTATACATAATATAAGATTGAATGTAATAAAGAATTGGTTAAGATGGCATCCACCTTTAGCAAAGTATCCATACATGATACCAGTAAGTAACATCGCACCCAAAAACAAAGCAATTGTGGAACCAATAAGGATATATTTCCATTTATTATCATCAGTTTCTTCAAGTTTCTCAATGCAAGTTTCGCTCCACGAATGAGCAAAGTCAATTAAAAGTATCAAACCAACTATAATAAACAAGCTAGCACCAATTAAGGCGATATAATTGCCCCAGAACATGAAAAATCCATTAGGAATAAAAAAGGAAATAATAATAAGAGTTATCCACAATAAGACTTTAGGTCCCCACCATCTATAAAATATTATAAAATATATAAATTTTAGGTATATAGTAGAAACGTGTTTAAATTTTTGTACTAAAAAAATCACATTTACCCGTTTTGGATGGAAGCCCGTTTGTCGCGAGTATCATTAACTTTGATGACCAAAAGCCCTAAAATAAAATGAAACAATGAAAGTGCAAAACATATACGATGTACCTATATAGTAAAAATCAAACTCGATAAAATTAATTTAAATATTACATTAAAAATATATATATATTTAAAAAATTTGAAACTTACTGCTAGCACACCGTAACAAATTCCATCTTCTCCATCATCCTTTTTACAAGTTAATTTTAGATAATCAAGACTAATTTTTTCTAGCTGCTTTAATGCCCATTCCGACAACATTATCCAAGCGAGCTGCAATTATTAAAATAAAATAATGCAATAAGATTTGTATTCAATATATGAGAATGCATAATGAACATATAAAACAATAAACTTACAATGGAATTCATGATAAATATAAGCTACAGAAAAAAAAAAGAAGAATTTAATAAATTAACATACATATATAGTTGATATAGAACATGTAAAGAGTTTTAAGAAAAAATGCTTACTGCAAAGCCGACTCTCGTCGCAATGGAATTATTACAATTACATGACTTGAATGCTAAGCTACAAGCAGCTGCAGAAAAGCAAGAAGCGATCGCAGAAGACACCCAAGAGGCAGCGCCGAGGCCGAGGCAACTAAAACCAAGACCCATTTTCGTGAATGTAAGAAAGAAAGGTTTAAAACCAGATACTTAGTAATTGTGTGTCAAAAATACGCCAGAACTTGTACTACTACTGGGAAAATACCGAAAAATTTAATAATTAAATGCAAGTTTTATACGTATACAATATTATATAGATATATATATTCTAGAAGAAATCATTAGCGTTAGGACCTCCGGCATCACATGTAATATAACTGTAATATATGTCAAAAAGCCAATATAATAGATAATCATATATGTATTGTCAGGTGAAGAATCCGAAAAATCGAGAATTCTCCCCCATTCTCTTATTTTCATTTACTCAAATTGGAAATGTGCCCCAAAAAATACAAATTCAGCCAAGGAATGTTAAAATTGCATTTTTTTTGTGTTAGCGTTATTATTAATTTTTAGAAATGTTCTTTATGACCATACATACATATTGTCGTCATAAACTACGGATTATATTAAAAACCAGTTTAACAAACGTCTTTTACGGCGATATGTCGGCGTACTGATCTCAACCTGTTAAATTTAAACCTTACAAGTTAAGTCTTTTTTTTTTTTTCGTTTTTTTTCAACAATGATGTATACTTTGAAATATGTATCGTCTATTATTTTAATATTCGAACTTATTATAATATAAGTTATGACATATAAATCTTCTCTCTGAGTGAAAAATATCTTTTTATTGTAAACACTATAACGAATACGTTATGACTGATTAATTTATTCTATTCTAAATTTTTAGGGCGTTCGTTGAAACACAATAAACTAAGTTAGTTCTGTTTGATTATTGCTGTAAGATTCGAGTTCGTAATGCAGTAATATCTTAATATCCTGATCCGTTAGGGTATTAATTAATCCCCTGTATTCTTGATAGAATGATCGGGTGATTTTTTCTTAAAATTTTCGAAATTTACAGAATCATACGACACTTTTTGAGATTCATTCGATACTTTATAAGCCCAAGCAATGCAATAATGCGATGCAAGAAGACGCCATTCTTCAAGTTCATCCAACATTTCCAATTTTGATATTCTATATTTTATGTAATCAAATCAAAAATATTTAATATATCAAGACTATTAAAACTATTAATCCAATAAACAACAAATGAAAATACCTAGCATGTTCCTTCGGATCTATGTAAATATCATAAATTTCATTCATGTCAACAGCTTCAGCATGAGTCCATCCTCGGGATAAATATCTATCTTTTTGACTTTCAAGATCAGGATAAGCATGTATTCCACGAAGTTCTATATTTCGATATTTTAAATTTTGTAACATGACTGATCCAAAAGCATCATTTGGTAAAATTTGCTCATAAACTATAAACATTGCTGTATTTAGATTTGCCCCAATCCATTCCACAATTTTATTTGAGTTCATTGGGTCCATATATATCATCACGCATTCAGATAAGAATAATGTTGATAGGCTTAAATAAATAAAAAATCTTGCTTATGATACTTATAAAAGCTATGATTTCAAATGTAGGTATTATATTTACCTGCGATCAAAACCGTTGGATTCTAACCTTGGTACTAAATCTTCGATAAAATCACGAAGATCTCCTGATAACAAACAATAATCTGACCCATAAATCTCTGTACCTCCTCTACCTGTATATTTATTAATTAGAATAAAAAAAAAAAAAACGAGAAAATGAGTTAATTATTAAAATTATATTATAACCGACCTATTCGAGCATCATCACCAATAATCTCTGATAATTCCTTATTTTTCCGAATAATTGCGGCTTTTTTCGCAGTGATTTCAGGAAAATCAATTTCGAAATATTTATAAAATTTTTGTAATGATGACTTTAAATATGTAAAAATGTGTTAACATATTAATTTTAGACAATTTCACGAGAAAAAAAAAAAAGTTAAAAAAAAACCTTTAAATTAAAATATCGTGTGTCAGATCCGGCACCAAGTGATATAATTTGTTTCCTTCCGTCTTCAATCCCCAAAAATTTTATTATCAAAGTGTCCAGTCCTTTGTTACGTATATACGATCCTATTTTTAAGTTTATATGTTTAATAATAATAAAAAAGATGAGTGGCTGATCAATTCGCAATCCCTCGATATTAAATGATACTACCTCTGTTAATAAGAGGTGATCTTTTGGTAGGTCTTTTGTGAAAATATTTTACATAATCATCTTGAATATATCCTGCATTTACAGCGGATCTACATATATAAAATGTTATTAATGATAAATAATGCCTTTCAAAATTTCATTTTATGTACGGTTTATTTAACAATATCTTCACAACCATTGTCTATATGAAGCGTTCTAAGAAAGAATTATTATTTACAGTTTACTTGTAATTGCATCCTCATTAGTTCCGCGAATAGCATTATCTTGAATTGAAGTATCTTCGTCGGTGAGAGTTCTAAAAGCCATTCCTATTCAACTTTAAAAATTTTAGGAATCTAATTAATGCAAGGCCGATCGATCTTCAAACGTGTAACTCTTACATAACATCCAGAAATGTATGCCACGGGCTGATGTGCCACAGTGGCTAGAGGGGGAATTGAAGTATTATGACGAAGTTAACATTGAGCTGAATCGATTGATACCAAGATCTGATCACAAGATCCAAAGATATTTGAATTTAAATTCTTTATACCACTCATCGAGAGTCGCGAGATATTAACGATTACCCGGGTCGAGAAGTAGCGATCCGGGTTATGACCCGGGTCAATAGTCACATAGATCAAGCTTGATAAATTTATGTAGTAGTAGTATATCGGTATAATATATCTAGCATAGTGGAAGTTTATTTTGATTGGTTTTTAAAATACCCCGGAAAATATGTAGATCATTCTCCGGATAAAGTATCGGCTATGTCCGGATGAAATTTTATTACTCACGAAACTTTCAAAAAATTAATCAATACTCTCTAAAGGCGTGTATTATAGTCTTATAATACATTAATTAGGGCTCATAACTATTCATATTTCACAATGTATACAATATTATTTCATTTCGCAATAAGTAAAATATTTATTTTACAACAAATACTCTAAGTTTCGCGACACAATCTACTGAATAAAATAACATACACGAACATTTCTAAACACTACTACTATAAAATATATTTATAAACTACTCGTAACCTAAATGTAATAAAAAGGTAGAGTTTGGAATATTAGTTTCAAATACGTAGTACTTTTTACTTATAAAAAACAAAGTAGAACTCATAGTTGAGACAACTTTTACTTACTAATTGCTTAGGTTGCCGAAACATCTTCTGACCTTTCAAAACTTTCACTTCTCATTTAGTTTCTCAACCTTTTGCATCCTATTGCATCAGTTGTTAAAAAACAGTAGATTTATAGATAAAAAAACAATATATTAAGTCATTATAGTAGTTACGTATTGCAGAAAAAAATTCTATATGTTGTGACTATCTTTACTTATTAAAGATACAAAAAATTACAATTGACAATATAAAAAAAGATCTTCACCAATTAAATTTATCCTTAATTTAACCAATCAAAATGAACTTCCAGTATGCTAGCGAGAATATGGTTTCATTTAATAGTCAAAATTTCAAGTTACATATCAACAGTTTTTTAAAAAATATAATATTTACATTAAACCTCTTAATAACTCTAGCTGCCACAACAAAATTTCATAGCAGATTCTGAGGTTTGATTGGCTAAGAGCGATAATCAAAAAATTTGACTGGAATTACTCAAAGTTCTACTAATGCAACCACAGAGCCTATTAAGTGAAAATTGTTCTTAGATCAATTTTACTATAATGCGGGATTATTTTCTAAAATTTTCTATTTTTATAATGAAAAAATCAAAAGCTAATAACGGTCAGAAATTAGTAACAATTATATAATGTGGGCCAAAATTTGCAGGTCTGTAGCCATTAACCAATCAAAATCGAGTAACAATTTTGTGTCAATTGTTTGAAGGAATCTGATTGGTGCATACTTGACTACCTTTTGAGGCTTTATTTAAAATTTAAAAATACATATGCACTTGCTATTAGAACCAAAAAAAAAACACAAAATGCTAATTTCGCATATTTCTAAATTGCATATTTCAGGTTGGGTCAGATCAAGTTCAGTTTGGGTTGATGTTCAACCTGAATCCAATCCAAAATTTTCGGGTCAGAAATTTCTAATCTGAACCCGACCTGAAATTTCGGGTTGACCTGACCCGATTCGGAGCACTAATCTGTAAGATGGTTTGGGCAGCAGAAGCAGTCCCAAATATCTTATAAATATTTGATTTATTTACTGATATTATCGTTCATTATTCTGTATTATTTGCCAATAATCACTATATAGACAACTTATTTCATGACAATTAATTTACAGACAAAATTATTTTACCAATTACTAACAAGTTTATTTCATAGACAGTATATTTTTATAACAGCTCAGTTCACATACAAAGTAATTATGGTCATTATTGTTGAAATAAAAAGCATCCCTATGAAAAAATAATTACAAAAACAATAAAGATAATTACAGATAATATACATATCTGAATAAATATATTAAATAGATTCAGAATTACTGTTGATAAAGAATTAATATATTGAATAGATATGGAATTGCCATTGCTACAGATTTAATACTTAATTAATATACTGAATAGATACAGAATTATTGTTGCTACAGCATTAATACTTGATTAATATATTGAATAGATACGCAATTATTGTTGTTACAGAATTAATACTTGATTAATATATTGAATAGATATGGAATTATGTTGATACAGAATTAATACTTAATTAATATATTTAATAAATATGGAATTACTGTTGATACAGAATTAATATTTAATTAATATATTGATAGATACAGAAATACTGTTAAATTTGTTTAAAAATAATCTTTAAATTTAAGATAATGTATAGTAAATTTACTTAATTTATGAATAGTAATCATTATTAAAGCTAGTGAAAGATCTTAATTTTTTATTTACGGTTTAGCCAAGGTTATTTCTTATAGCTGGGAATAAAGTTTGTTTTCGGATTATTTTAAAATAAAAAGATTTCTTTTTAAATGTTCTGAATTCTGAAATTGTTTTAATTATCCTAAGTTGTTCTATATTTTTACTATTACAAAAGCAATTAATGATTGATATAAATGCCTAAGCTGTAGATCTACAGCATAGTATCAGAAATAGGGTGCAATGAAGTGCTTGGTTATATGGTAAGTAAAATAGTGTATTCAAATTATGAATCTGATTGGATTACATTTTAATGTGATTTTGTTGTATTTGTTCTTTCTAACAAAACATGTATCTATATTTTACTCATGCACTATAATATGAATATTATCTTTATTAGTAAAAAAAAGTTTAAGCATGAATTTATATTAGTGTTGTATATTTAAAATACTCAGTGTTTAAGTTACTAACTATTTGATAGCCCCATATATCATATGCAAATATTGTATAAAAACTAATACTTTAATAATGAATAGAAAACTTAGACATTTTAAGAATTTTTTTTTACAACCCAGTACAACTAATTCATTTTATTTTTGCCTTTTTTCATCTTTTACTTAAATAGTTTAGTATATACTTGTAATTTTTGTGATATTGTAAAATGATTTTGTTTTTACTGGTTGCAACAGAAATTGATCAAATAAAGCATGGCTTAGAGTGTTTGCCTTCACAATAAACTTGCAGTATATTGTTAAATTTATTATGCTTTATAATTTTGTATATTATATCTTTAATATGTCTGTGAAAAATAGCTTCTTGTTGGTGTGTGCATTTCGCCAACAATCACTTCACAGACAGCTTAATTCACCAACACTTAATTCACAGCAAAGCTCATTTCACCAACAATTATTTCGCTGAAAACATTTCACCAACAAAGTAATTCTAGTTATTGTTGTTAGTTCAGGTTAGAATTAGAGTTAAAGTTAGTGTAATTTATAAAAAAATGCTTGTTGGTGAAATGAGCTGTTAGTAAAATAATTGTTGGTAAAATGAACTTGTCTGTGAATTGATTGTTGACAAACTAAGCTGTCTGTAAAGTGATTGTTGGTAAAATAACACGTATCCCTTCCTGCTAAATAAAATAACCAGAGTGTATATTTGTCAAACAAATATAGTAATCATTTGAGTAAAGGTATTTCTTAATACATAAAAAATATCACAAAATTCTTATTGACCTTAGCTTGATCTGTTTACCCTTTGCTAAAGCTTATTGAGAAATAATATTTATAATGTTGATAAAATCTTATGATTTCTCATCAAAACCTTGAGAATAATGCTATGTTATATGATCATGTTCTAATAATATCCACGCTATTCTTACAATTTATATAAAATTTACATAAAAATAATAATCATCATATCAGAATATTAAATCTATTTTGCTAAATTTTGCTAAATAAGTAATAAAGTGTATATTTCGTAACCTGTGATCACATACCATCATTAACCAATCGAGTCAAACCCTACTGCAGCATAATTGAGAGAAAAAAGGAAAAAAGAAATAACAGTAGTGTTGAATGAGCATAAGCAAAAAAGTATTAAAATACATAATGATGTTAATTGATCTGTTCGGTCCATCTTGGTCCAAAGACTGGCAGTCTTTTAAAAAGTTAGTCCGGACTGCAGCTCAGGGCTGGGCTGATTAGGACCGATCTGTATGAACTGGACGGACTGATTGTTAGACTAATTAGATAAATGCACTAACATATTAATAATAATTATTACGTATTACCCATTATTATTATTATTTCCCATTATTATGATAAATTCCAAATTATTAGTTTATTGCTCGTTTTATTACATAAAAGCTACCTTTAAACAAATATTCAAACCTTTCTGTTATTATTAGAACTAGTAATGTCATGCGCATGAATTTTGAAAATCATGTACATAATTTTTGCAAACATATTTTAATTATTGCGCTTTGCAAAAAGATATGGGCTAGGTGCTGCGAAAAGGAACGAAATTGACAAAAACAAAGATCTTCAGAAAATCAATTTTTATGTTGTAAATCTTATAATAGATCATAAGAAATACAAACTTTTAGAAGCTATATTTCAAAATTTTATTAACACAACTACTGTGTCTTAAGTGAAAAATGATCCTAATATTATTTTAAATTGATTTATGTAAAAAAAAAATCTTTTGAAAAAATTGTCAATTTCGTCCCTTTTCGCAGCACCTAGCCCTACAGGAGCGACCGTCGATGTTACACGACTGACTTTTCACCCGGTGTGCAACATATAAAAAAACTATTTTACAATA